TGGGGGATAGTGGTTGGCTGATAATATCATCACAACTCTCTTCTTGGTTACTAATTACTATTATCATAATAATCATCACTATTTTGACAGTGGAAAATCAGCTAATGACAGTGAAATATAAGAGAATAAATAAAAATATATCTACTATATATAACCTTACGAGTGTGACACTACCTCGTTAAGACCTTGCCAAGAAAAATCCGGTGGGATAAAAACTTGACGAAGGAAAAAGAGTACAGTGTTATAATAAGTGATTATGCTCCCCCTTCAGTATGATGTTTTGATTTAGATCATCTTCAGAATGATGACTTGTCAAAACTCCGATATATGACTTTCTTAACTTGTTACTTCATTGTAACCGATGAATGTCAATATTATCCAAGGTTGTAAAAATCGGTAATCGGGTCCGACTCGGTCAGGCACCGATTCACGAATAATCGGTGCGGCGGTGATTAATCGGTGATAAATCGGAAATAAATCGGTTTTTAAAATTTAATATAATATATTTGTAGATATTATTTATAAATACTCAAAACATAGATAAAAAATATTTAAACATAGTTAGTTATATCTCCATCATGTTTATATTCTAATAACATAATAAAAGTTTAATAATAATAAGATCATAATACATAAATATCCTTATAAAATATAAATAAAAAGGCAATTTTTTTTGAATTAACATACATTCTTGGCATACATCATTAGTTCTTTAACAATAATAATTAACATAAACAAAATAAAGCATAAACTCTTTTTTTTTTAATTTAAATTTCAACTTTTATTTTGATTTATAAAAAAAAAAAAAAAAAAAAACCGATTTTTGACCGATTTTTTGCCGATTTTTTCCACCGAAGTTTAACCCGCCTTAAAGGTTTGACCGCCTCGGACCGCCTCAGACCGCCTCAGACCGCCTCGGACCGCCTCAAACCGCCTCAAACCACCTCACAGGCAAAAAACCGATTTTTCAAACCTTTACACTAAAATCGTAAAGGTTTTGGACCGCCTCCGCCTAGGCGATCGATTAATCGGCCGCCTCGGCCGATTTTTAGAACACTGATATTATCTATCTTCTTTAGTTCGTAAGTGTAGAACAATTCCAATAACGTTTCACCATCTTTGATGAGCCAACTCCGAGCATTATATATCCTCATACAACAATATAATTGTCTTCTTTATTGCAGATAATCTGTAAGTATCTTGAATATGTTGACCCATAGTTCTCATTCATATATATTCGCATTTCGCTTGATGCAATGACATCATAATACTTCGTAGAAGTGATTGTTATGTGGTAGTAGCACCACTGTGAGTAAATACATACCCACTTATGATGTATCTTTGCATGGATCATAAGAAAACCATCTATATTATATATAAAACTAACATACACAATAAAAGTTATTCACTTGAGGAGATTGAGTCCACATTATTTCCTTAATTTCAAAAAAACCCCACTTACCATAATCACCCATATTATTATGGGGTCATTACAAATAAGCCCATCAATGGGTAGTTATTCATAAAGAGATCCAGACAAAAAACTCATTTACCAATAAGTCCACACATGGTCCAGATTTTTGTAAATGACTAAAATAACCCCTCATACTTTAATATGCTCCAATTTCTTCCTTAACTTTATTTAACCTCAATTTGACCCCAAATTTCACAAATTATTCAATTTTGACCCAAAACGTTTTTTTTTTCAGAAAAAAAAAATTTCAAAATTTTTTTTCCCACTGGTCTCCGGCGTTGACTTTTCAATTTTTTTTTGCCTTTTTTTTTTCTTCCGGTTTTTGGCGTTGACCGACGACGATCAACGCCGGTCTCCGGCGTTGAATTTTTCGATTTTTTTTTCTTTTCTTTTCTTTCTTTCTGTAACTTTTTTTTTGTTTAAACAACAATATTGCTGTGATTGACAGTAATATTAACTATATTACTGTTAAATACAGTAAAATTAACTAAACTACAATTTAACATAGTAATATTGCTATATTAATCTCTAGCACAGTAATATTAACACAACAAAACTCATTATTATTGTGTAATAGAGTAATATTACTATGTTGACCGTTCCACAAATGTAAACATAATAAAAAGCCAAAAGACTTAATATTACTGTGAGTAGCAGTAATATTACCGTCAACCACAATAATATTACAATAATAGACAGTAATATTATTGCGTTACTCCGTGAATAACTCAAACAAACAAAAAGATCCAAACAAAATAATAATATTGATGTGGTTGACAACAATATTACTATAATAACAGTAATATTACCGTCAACCACAGTAATATTATTGTGTGTACAGTAATATTACAATAATAGACAGTAATATCATTACGTTACTCCGTGAATAACTCAAACAAAACAAAAAACCAAAAAAAAAATAATACTGATGTTGTTGATAGTAATATTATTGTGTTTACAGTTATTTTACTGTCAACGATAGTAATATAATTACGTTAACTTGTCAATAAATCAAAAAAAAAGAAAACAAAAAAAAAATATTACGTTAATTTACTTTCAACGGCAGAACAATTACATAAATGTATCGTCAACGGCAGTACAATTACGTTAATTAACTATCATTGACATTATAATTACGTTAATTTACTGTCAGTGACAGCACAATTACGGTCAACGTTTAACGGCAACGTAAAAAAAAAACAAACAAAAAAAAAAACTTAAAAAAACACTAAAAAAAAATCAACGCCGGAAACCGACGAAAAAATCCGGAAGAAATGAAAAGAAAAAAAAAATCGAAAAGGCAACGCCTGAATCCGGCGGCAAAAAAAAATTTGAAAAAAAAAAATCAAAGTTGAATTTTTGTGGTCAAAATTGGATTTTTGTGGACAAAATTGATTAAATTAGGGTTAAAATTAAGAATTTGGTATAAATGGTTGGGGGTAATATTGGCATATACATGAATGTTTCTTTTATTTATAATAAATATTAAAGGGATGGGCTTATTGCTGAAAGAGATATATGCATATAGTCCATAAACATAGAATAATAAAGTTGTTTGGTTGGGGACTTATGCCCAAAAACCCCTATTATAAATGAATTAATTTGAAATTATTGATTTTTAAATTTTATCTCTCCTACATGTCAGAATAGTGTCTTTTTATTGGTTAATGAGTTTCCTTTCTTTAATCCATTGGTTGATAATAAATAGGTAAATACATAAATGCACACAATTCTTTTTTTGGGTTAATGAGATTTTATGCACAATATTTATTTTAATTGCAAAAGAACCCCACTAACAAGAATCACCCATATTATTAATGAAATAATTCCACATTATTAGTTTTTAAATTTTATCTATCCTACAAGTCAAAATAGTGTCTTTTTATTGGTTAACGAGTTTCATTTTTTATAAACAATATTTTGATTAAAAAAACGTAGGGCTTATATGCAATTTTTATAATTTCGCAATTGAGTAAATTTTATGCAAAATATTATATTAATTGCAAAAAAACCCCAATTACCATAATCATCGATATTATTAATTATTTTTTCACATTATTGGTTTTCAACTTTTATCTCTCCTACATGTCAAAATAGTGTCTTTTTATTGGTTAATGAGTTTCATTTTTTATAAACAGTTTTTTGATTAAAAAGACGTAGGACTTCAATGCAATTTTTATAGTTTCGCAATTGAGTAAATTTTATGCACAATATTATATTAATTGCAAAAAAAAACTCACTTACCGTAATCATCTATATTTATTATTTTAAAACTAATCTAGATAAAATAGGTAACTTTATCAATTTAAATTAATTATTTTATTTGTTACCTTTATTACATTCCTTAATTCTCCTATAAATTACCATTCAAAATATTCACCTTCTTCAACTTTTCCACATATATTTTTTCTGTTTCGGAGACATGAAGAGAATTCTTGAAAAAGAATTGCATTGGTATCACCTACATGTCTCCGAAACAGAATTTTTGAGTAATTACATATTTAATTACTCCCTCCGTCCCAATTTAAATGTCGTTTTGGGTTGTTTTGCACATGTTAAGAAAATAAATAAATGTGCATAGATTATAGCAAAAAAACAATACAATTACTAAAATATCCTCGACATTTAATTGATTCTCAACTAATTAATTAGGAGTGATTAAGGGTAAAATAAAAAATAATGCAATTAATGCTTCATTGAAAATCTAAAATGACAAATAATTTGGGACAAAAAAAACTCTCTAAAAAGACATATAATATGGGACAGGGGGAGTATATGCGCGCTCTCTCTCTCTCTCATATATATATATATATATATATATATATA